CAGAGCCTGACTCAGGGCTCAGACTCACAAACCATGAGATCATGACTTGAGCTGAAGTCGGACGCTCAACCGACTGAGCCACCCAGGGGCCCTTAGATTTCTTTTTTCATTGAGATCAAATTCATCTAATATAAAATTCACCATTGGAACCACTTAAAACTGCATAATTCAGTAGCCTTTAGTAGGCTCGCAGTGTTGGTTCAACCTCTAGTTCCAGGACGGTTTCATCATCCCAGAAGGAAACCCCAAACCCATTTAACACTCGCTCCCCATTCCCTCCTCCCCCAGCCCCTGGCAATGACTAATCTGCTCCCGGTCTCTATGGACCTGCCCATTCTGGATACTTTATAGAAATGGAATCATCTCAGATGTGGCTTTTTTGCACTTGACTTCTTACGCTTAGTATAGCGTTTTTGTGGGTCATCCCGGCTTGTAGGTATAGGCGTGCTTCCTTCTATTTTGCATCTGAATAATATGCCCTTGTATGGATACGCCGCGTTTTGTTTATCCAGTCATCTCTTGCTGGTCGCATGGGTTGTTTTGACTTTTTTGGCTATTGTGAATAATAGTGCTGTGAACACTGGTGTGGAAATACCTGCTCGGGTCCCTCCTTCCCGTTGTTTTGCGTATATACTGAGGACTCCAATTGCTGGATCATATAGTAATTCTGGGTTAAATTTTTTGAGGCACTGCCGTTCTATTTTCCACAGTGGCCGCACCATTTTACATTCCCTCCAGCAGTGTGCAGGGGTTCCAATTTCTCCACATCTCCACCACCCCTGTTATTTTCTGTTTGTTTGTTTGTTTGTTTGTTTGTGTGTTTTTTATAATTGCCATCCTAATGTGGTTTCGATTTGTGTTTCCTTAATGATTAATGACACGGAGCATCTTTTCATGGGCTTATTGACCATCCGTTTACCCTTGGAGAAATGTCTATTCAAGTTGGTTTGTTTATCTTGTTGTTGTTGTTGAATTGTACGAGTTCTTTATATGCTCTGGATATCAATCCCGTATCAGGCATATGACTTGCAGATATTTTCTCTCTTGCTGTGGGTTGCCTTTTCATTCTGTTGACAGTGTTCTTTGATTCACAAAAGTTTTAAGTTTTGACCAAGTCCAACTTGTCTGTCTTTTTTCTTTGTTTTTGCTTTTGGTGTCATATCTAAGTAACTATCGCTAAATCCAAGCTCACGAAGTTTTATCCCTGTGTTATCTTCGGAGGGTTTTATGGTTTTGTAATTATATGAACTATAACTGTTTAATCCTACACGTTAGTCTTACTGAGATTCCCCATGTGTGATCAGTCACTTCTCCTTTGCTGATCTTACGAGTCTCTGGTTTTGGCTTTTGACAATTTGATTAAAATGTTTTTCAGCGTGAACCTCTTTGAATTTATCCTACTTCGAGTTCCTTGCTCTTGCACGTACAGATTCATGTCTTTCATCAAAATTTGGGGAGTTTTACTCCATTATATCTTGAAATATTCTTTCTAGGGGCGCCTGGGTGGCACAGTCGGTTGGCGTCCGACTTCAGCCAGGTCATGATCTCGCGGTCCGTGAGTTCGAGCCCCGCGTCGGGCTCTGGGCTGATGGCTCAGAGCCTGGAGCCTGTTTCCGATTCTGTGTCTCCCTCTCTCTCTGCCCCTTCCCCGTTCATGCTCTGTCTCTCTCTGTCCCAAAAATAAATAAACGTTGAAAAAAAAAATTAAAAAAAAAAAAAAAAAAAGAAATATTCTTTCTAGCCATTTCTCACGGTCCTCTCCCTTTGGGACTCCTATTATACATATATTGGTGTGGTTGATAGTGTCCCACAGGTCTTTTAGGTTCTGTTTATTTGTCTTCATTCTTGTTTCTCTCTGCACCCCAAACCGGATCGTCTCAACTGATCTGTCTTCAAGCTCATGCATTCTTTCTTCTGTCTCCTCAAAGCTGCTGTTGAGCCCTTCTAGTGAATTTTTCATTTCAGTTACTGCACTTTCTAGCTCCAGAATTATTACGTTTGTTTTTGTTTTTTGTTTTCTGGTAATTTCTGTCTTTTTATTCCTATTCTCTAGTAAGACATCCTTCTCCTGGCTTTCTGGAGTTTTTGTCCATGATTTCCTTTAGCTCTTTGAGCACATTTCAGGCAATTAATTTAAAGCCTTTGTCTAGTAAGTCTGGTGTCTTAGCTCCTGCAGGGACGGTTTCTGTTTCTTTTTTTCCCCTGATACTGTGCCATACTTTCTTGTTTCTTTGCCTGCCTCATCGTTTTGTTTTGTTTTAACTGGGCATTTTGAATAATATAGTGTGGCCGCTCTGGAAGTCAGCTCACCCCCTTCCTTCAGGGTGCGTCGTGGTTTGTTGTGTTGACGGTGGTGGTGTTTGTTCAGTGACTTTTCTAAGCTCTTTTGTAAAGTCTTTATTCTTTGTCATGTGTGGCCCCTGAAGGCCCTGTTCTGTTAGGTTAGTGGCCAGCTAGTGACTTGACAGAGAAATCCTTAAACGCCCAGGGCCTGGGAGGGGGGG